GTTTCGAGTTTCAGAAGAGCCCAGACAGCCGTCGATAGGAGTGGTAATGATATCGAGAAACAGGAGAAGCCGTTGGAGATACAGATCAAGAAGGAGGACAAAGAGGAGGTGGCTGTGGGCGCCGACATCGGTGCCATCGGATCCATGTCTAAGGTGTGTAAAAGTTAGGTGTGGGACGGGAATGGCGTTGAGATCACCGGAAAGGTATGCCAATCAACCGACAGTCACTCTATGGCTGTCGTGTTATAGTCATTATTATCTCATATCGTGTGATAAGTACGTAATGATTGTTGTCTTGAGAACAGATAACTTCAGCGCCGACATCGACCGCGAAGTCCAAGTCCTCTGACACTGAGATCCGAAACCCAGTTGACTGAGCTCAAGATGTAGTCAATGATTATATCTATATTTGATTTATTTATACCGCTATATATATCTACTCTATTTATTATTCTCTCGCATATATTATATTACTATAAAATTGTATATAAATTTAAAAAATAACAAAAATTACTGAAACACTTGAATTCATGGCCTTTTGCCTCAATATGTTTGACTGCATATGAGTAATGCATTTCTGAACATAACATTTGCAAAAGTATTGCCAATTCTGTGGCAATATCTCAACGACTATAAAATAGTGAATGCCATACAAGTGTTGTGCATAGGGCTGCCACCCGTCCTCCAATCGGCCCCTCAAAAAACAGTCCTCCCGAGGGTCTCAGGAGGACTATGTAATGTCCTCCCAGAGATATTTGCCAAAATAATGAAAAATGTTAATTTGATTATTAGTTTAATTTGTAAATATAGTTAATATTACTTTTAATGTGAATATAAAATATTTATATAAACTGTGAAATCATTGTTCGGATGATAATAACAAGTGTTTAAAACATTAAAATAATAGTTTCGTATATTATTATGAGTACAAGAGACAAAATTATAAATAAATATTTTGTTGTCCTCCCAATGTCCTCCTTTTTATAAATAGTTTTCAAATTTTTTAAAACTTTATCTATTAATAAGTCCTGGTAGAATTTTTTAATATACAATAAATTATGTTATATACTGTAATCGTAAATTTGGTTAATGTTTATTGAAATAATTAAAATTATTGCTAGATAAGTTTTTTAAAATGACATACTCATCACATGCTTGATATCTAATTAATTACTACAAAACATTAATTCAAAATAGCATACCATAGACAAAAACATGCTGTACTCAGTGTATACAGTGTACTGTATAATAAACTTTGAAATTATGATAAAATTTTATAATTAAAATTATTCCTTAATTAATTCTTAGTAAAAACGTAAGATTATATTTTAATTATATTATGATAATATATTTATAAAAATATATCCCAAATTGAAATTTATTTCACACCATTAAGTTGAGTAAGACAATACAATTTAATATGCAGTACAATTCAATACAATTAATTCATCAAATATCACATTCAAGTGATTTATATAGTAAAGCATTTGGGATACACTTACTGTTAAAAGTTTAAGCAAGGTATTTATGGGCTATAAAATTTATTTATATATTTAGTTACAGTGCAGAAAATCTTATTTAAATGTGTATTATAACTAAGAATAGGGAAAAGGTGTTTTAAATAGTGGGTAAAAAGGGAATGTTGTAAAACATAATTTAGGAGCAAAGCCTTAGTATCCTTACCTAAGATTCAAAATTGTTAGTCA